CTATTTTAATTCAGCCTCTTACTGTCAATTTTCACAACTCGAGAACAGACAAGATTCTCTTTGTATGACTCATTTATCCAAAGTTTTCTGAGTTGAACAGCACACCAAATCATAAATGATGAATCATGTTATCTCCTAGTCTCATATTTCTTGGTGTCTTGTGGAAAATATTCTTTATCTACCATGTATATTAAATTTCTTTAAGCTCTGAATTAAAATAGACTTTTTTCTACTTTTGATAATAAGAGTTGGAGCACCAGAGGATAACTTATAGGGATAATACATAAATCAAGGAGGTATAATGTAGTAAGTCAACGTAATTCTGTTACAGTACAATTTATGGGGGCTCAATCAGTGAAAGTTTAAAAGACCAATTTGAGGTGGGGTGGGTTTTACTCTTGAGTGCCCTTTGGGCTAGATAACATTATGTAAACTATTTCATAATGCATAATTTTCATTCTATCACTTTCATAATGACTTTGCATCATCTGCATAATGGCATCTTTATGCAAATGATATAAATTCAATGAGAATTTTGAACTTTTTGTCTGAATTCCATTGCTAAATCAGACTTTCATTGTTCTGTGTTATAGTTGCTCTGATAAATCTATTAAGATTTCATCCAACTTTGATGATTTTTAAGATTTTAATTTCTTATTACTTGATTTTGTTACTAATTTTTTTAATGGCTCTCACAGTATGATTTTCCCAACATGCTGGGAAATCTATTATCAATATTTGGTATCAGATTGCAAAGTATCAATGATATAGTTTCCTGCTAACGGAAGAGACCAAAGAAATTGGAAAGGTTTAAATCAAGTTGGTGCATTTTAACCTGCCAACCCTTTTCCTCTTCAAATCAGCACAAAAGCCTGAAAAAACCTACCAGTTGTTTGACATCATTGCACTATTGTCATTTCCTTGTAGTTCCAACTTTTAGTTAAAAAGTGTCTTCCTTATCATATTGCCCTCTTCTCCTTGCTTATTTTTTGGAAGAGGTTTTCTTATTCTTTGACCAATGCATTGCAGCCAGGGGTGAAATTCTACCAGTTTTGATGGTTTGCTTGAACCAGTATTTCCGACGATTAGCTGTGACATGCGATTAATATTAGCTATAAAGCAGGATTTCCTGCTTTCTAGTTAATCTAAATTGCATGGCACAGCGGATTCCCCCCACCCTCCGCTGTTCTACTTACTTTTGTAGATGCGCTTGATAGCAGGCTCCGCCCGCCCACCCAGACATCATCACGTCCATTTTTGATGCTCTGTGCAGGGGAAGAGGCTCCTGCACATGCACGGAGGTGGCGTGTGGGAGCAAAGCCAGCGTGTGTGCGTGCTCACATTTGCAAACCGTTAGC